AACGATGTGAGCTCGACGCAAGTCGCAGGGCTCAACTGCCCACAGGTCATGGAGCACCGACAGATCGGCCCCCCCGACACGAGACGACACGAAAAAATAGAAAGAAGGAGGAAGACAAGAAAGACGGAGATGCGTTGCCCCCGCCCAAAATGGGCTGCTCTTGTCGATTGGGGGCGCCGGTTCCGCCCAAAATGGGCTGCTCTTATCGACAAGAGCCGGGCTCTGGCCACCGCGAGCACCTGTTTTCGTGCTCTTTTGCAAGAGGCGCCAGTTTGCGGGGCTGCGACCCCCCCGCAGAGGTTTCTGACTTGTCCAAGGAGAAAGGCGAGAGGGAGGGGGGGGCCAGACCCGACTCCGAGGAGACGTGGGGAGGCGAACTCCCACGACGCCCAGAGGCTGCGGGACTGAACCCACCAGAAGAACAGAGGAGGGAGGGGCCAGACCCGACTCCGAGGAGACGCGGGGAGGCGAATTCCCACGACGCCCAGAGGCTGCGGGACTAAACCCGCCAGAAGAACAGAGGAGGGAGGGGCCAGACCCGACTCCGAGGAGACGTGTGGAGGCGAACTCCCACGACGCCCAGAGGCTGCGGGACTGAACCCACTAGAAGAAGAGAGGAGGAGAGGGAAAAAGGGAAAGGACCCCTCCGATGAGAGACATCCGTCTCCAAGCGCCTTCAAGAGGAGAAGAATAGGGATCTGCGCAGAGCCGCTGCGGGGTCCACCACGAGGACTCAACCTGTAGTTGTGGATGCTGCGGGCCCAGCGCAAACGAGGGTCCGAATGCGCAGAGCAAGTCTGCGACGACCGTCACCCACAAACAAACAATCAAAAGGTCATGAGCCAGCAGCGAGCACCTTCCGGGGCCCCAACCTTGCGCCTGCGCGCGAGGTAGTCCGTCGCGCAGGGAGAGGAAGAACGAGAGGAGTAACCTGACTTCTGGACGCTGTTCGAGAACAGCGCTATTCCGAGATGTGACGCACTGTCTCTGTTTCAGAGCACTGGGAAAGTGACATAAAGCAAATGTCCCACCACCACGGAGCCCCGTGGCATGTAAACAGGGCGCCCCCGCCGCGCTGGCTACTCTTCACGATAAGGAGAACGAAATGCTTGTCCGACGTGTGGTCCGCCGCCGTCCAACATCCTGCAACCTGTCAGAGATGGGGACGAAATCGTAAACCGAAGGAGGTGAGGCCAGCCGGCCGGTCTGGGCCCGTCCAACACGTCACTCTGCCAGGACGTTGGGATTCTGCACACGCACATACAGAAGCGCAAAGGAGAAAGAAGACGGGCACAAGGGAGAGACAACTGGTCGACACTGCGCGGCGTGCAGCAATCGCTCCGACATGAATGTGGGCACGGTGACAACATGCACAATCATAAGCATGAAAGGCAGAAAAGAAGGACGCATGGGTGGGAAGGGAGAAGCAATGGATGGATGGATATGGGGAAGGACAACAGAAAACGAGAAGAGGAGGGCGTCGAAATGCACCTGCGGGGGCGCCCCACCCCGACGCAAAACGACGTGAGAGAATGGAATAGAGAGCTGGATACTGAGGGACACATCGAGAAGTCTCAGTCGCGTTAGAAGCTCTGTGACAGCAATGTGCAGCTGCGCCCAGCCAAGGCGACGAGGGCGCAGCTGGTGTTGCCACCGGCGGGGAGGACGCCAGATCAGCTTCCAACAGAGGCAATCAACGATGGACCACAAAACGCACAAAGAATAGGCAAAGAGGGTCGTCAGATTATCTGAAGCAATCGCGCCGTCCTCCGAATGACGCCGAAGGCCGCATGAAGAAATGACGTAGCACACGCTCTCAGAGACTGACAGCGTCGGTCTCGCAACTCTGGCAAAGCGGCTGATAACCTGTGAGAGGGGCGATCGGGTAATGCTACCAGTCTGCTATATCCACCCCCTGCGGGATGGCGCCTGCATAGGGCACATGGCCGCAGGACACCCCGCAGAGACGCGTGCGCCTTGAGTCTGCAGGTGTCGCCACCAGCCTGGCCTGGAACGTCTCCCAACAAGTTTTTCATTCAGTAGTATCGCGCGACCTCTAGATTTGTTCCGTGTCCAGAAGGCTCGCAGGACCACGAAGTGGTTGCTCCGCCCGCGTAGCTTGAATAGTTGGGAGGTGAAACAAAACATGTGGCGAGGTCAGGATGGGAATCACTGCAATAAGTCAGGGATAGAATCCGCGTAACTTGCCTAGAATACCGCAATAACAGCTCTCGTATAAAATCCCGCCCGTGCCCCCAAACCGTAATGCGAGCGATGCTTGGGTAATCCAATTGTTGTCGTATCACCAATCGTCGAGCGCAGGGATGTCTAATAATAGCCGGGAAATCTCTATAATATTGTGGTCGTGAGACGCCCTAAAGATGCGTGCCAAGTACGGTGGCAACGTCCTGAGTAGGTGGTTATTTCTATGCGCGGCACACAAGTAGAGCATCAGCCATGTTGCTAATAAAAACGGGAGCTTGGGAGTCGCATTATCTCACAGATTCCGTGCAATGCAATTTCTGAAATGGAGATTCGTGTTGTCTCAGAGAACGTGGAACCGCTTTGCCTGGCCATTTTAATGTATATTCTAATTGAAGGATTCCAAGCTCAATGCAACTAAGGTCACATTTTACATTTTCGAGCACGGCCCGTGTGGTCGTTGCACACATATTCGTTGTCGGAAAAACGTTTTCTTGTAGTGAAGCTTAGGCATGCTTAATCGGAACGACGATCGGGAGAAGACATTGGACACCCCTTTTTAATGAACCTTACGGCTCCGCCATCCCACAATGGCATAATCCCGCGGTCGTGTGATTTTACAACCCGATGTAAGAACCCCGAGATCACGCGACCCCACGACTTCGCAATTCCACGACAAAATCCAATTTAAGCTTGCTGATACGCACACGGAAAATCTTCAAAATTTGGTGTTCCTATCCGAAACGCCAGCTTGGGGAAATTAAGAACCACCTGTTTATGCGATTCCATTGTCAATACTTTCTGATTATACCTGAGTTGACAAATCCCGCGCATCATTGCCAAGGAAAAAACGCAATGTTTCTGGAACCACCCGGAATGCATTATCAATAGTTTTCTAAATTACACTCATTACATTCTTCATATATCTTGTATATGCGCAAACATCCACGGCAAATCATCACTCCACGCATATTAGACCATCGGTACTGTCGGAGACGAACGAACACGCACGTCAGCTGCCAGTCAGGACATTCCCGATCAGCGGATTATTGTCCTGGTACGTGCAGAGACAACCAACAGGATTCGGACCAAAACTATGTAAGGCGGTATGAGTAATTTTGACGACGGGGCGGACGATGGTGAACGCTACGATGTTGGGATTGGGCAATCGCCCAGACGCGATAACTTTCAGGAACCCAAACCACCTCAGGACCTGCATCGCCAAGAAAGGAAATGCGGTACCACCTACTGGGTTGGGGGGGGAAAGCACGCGGAACGGAAGCGTCGTCAATCAAATGAGGTCCGGGCGCCGTGTTCGGAATTATTGAGAAGTCCGAATACTTGAAAAACGGAGTGCGCCTGATCCAATCATGACCTTGTGGGCCATAGGTGGTCCCAACGATACCGGCGCGGTTGCTGGGTATGTCGATCGATACGCGCTCTCCACCCCCCCCCTCCCGGAGTAGATCTTGTATGTTTTTGGCGATGGTCAGGTGGGGTAGTCGCGCGAGCAGTCGTACTAAGCGAAGAGGTCTGGAACCACACCTCCCCTTCACCTCCCTCCTTTTCCGCTCAATCTTGAAATGCTGAATAAAAAACGTGGGAACACCGAGCCCTGTAGATACTACGTCGGCACATGCTGTAGTGCGATTTTCACGTCGGCGTAGGTTGTATTGTCGTTTTCTTGAAGATGTTCCAGAAGTTCTGTTCTTTTGCTTATTGCTGGTGCAAACTTTCTGATATTAGCGGTGGGACATGAGCGGCGGAACATGAATTCCGATTCTCTGCTGCTTGGCGCTAGCTACAGTGGACCCAAGGTGCCCAACATAATTACTTAGCAACGATATATCTTTGCAGAGACTTACAATCTAGTTTCCAGCGTGTAACTGTTTCTACCCGGCCCACACCATCTCTGTACGTGTATTGTGACGGGACCGCACACCCACTACAATTTCACAACGCAGAAGACAATTCTTTACAGACGCAAAATTAGGGCGCAACATGGGCCACGAAAGTAATTAGGGGTCCCAAGCAAAAATGAATGATCAGTATCCAAATCCTTGGCAGCCCGCCCAAAGGCACAGGCACTGGACCGCGCCCCATTCTCATCATTGGCCCATTCGTACGACTTATCGGCATTCCGACCATCAGCGTGATTATCCACGTCGCCGCCGCAAGCACAACCCGGCCTGCCAAAAGCAGTCGATATGGATGGCCAAGCGAACGACGCAAGAAACCAAAATAATTTGCCCGCGCAAAATTGCCTTAATGAATTTATTCCCGCGAAATGTCCCCAGAGCTGCCGCCCATGATACATCAATTCCTTAGGTTGGTTTACGAGCATTCGGCCACGCAAGCAACCCCCAAACCAGGAACATTGCCGCTCAAAAGAATCAAGTGGCCATGTGTTGCATTCCATCGATGCCGTGGTAGTTGGCCGTTCTCCTTTGGTATGTTTGCGTGCAGCGTGAAATGTCTATTTTAGTCTTGACACAGTGCTAGCAGTATGATTGCCGGGTTCCGGCCCGAAATGCGCCACAAATTGCGGTTCGACATTACCTGCGCCAAAGTATTGCTCGGTTTCGAATCGAAGTTTAAGAGGGCGCGCCGATCGGTATTTTGTTTTAAAAACTCAAAAATCGAAGACAAGCGTGCCCTGCATAAGGGCTTCGCAGCCGAAGCGTCATCCCTCGAAGCGATATATGCCCGTCCCCAGCAAGAGTCTCGAGGAATCTCTGCGACTGTCTCAGATATTTCCACCAGGCCCCACGAGTCCAGAAGCGTAAAACTACTTTTCGCCCGCATTTGCCACGCAGCACTCGTTGGCGGCGCGCACCAGGGGGTATGTGGAGGGGGCGCGGCTTCCTCGACGGAGGCTGCTTCTTAGAAGGTGCGGGCCTGACATCTACAAGCAAGGCCCGCGCCTTCTAAGAAGCAAGGGTGCTTCTAAGAAGCCTCCCCCCTTCCCCCGACCCCCCTTCCGCGCGCGGCCGAGCATTTGCCGCGCAACTCTCATACGGCCGGACATGCCCCACACCGGCCTCGGCCAGCGGGAGCCGCAAACGTACGAGAGGGCCGCGGTGCGGCCCGCCGCGCCACGGCCGCGGAGCCTGCGAGGCCGACCGCGAGCCCTGCCTCGCCGCGCGCGGGCCGGGGCTGTGCCTCCTACGTGCTCCCGCCCTGTCCGTCAAGACCCCCTCTCGGCTTCCCCCGTCCCCGCTCTGCCGCTTTTCTCTCCGCGCAATCAAAGCGTGTATTCACGACGGGTGTAAGCCTTGGAGGCCGAAGTTGGGATCGGTTGGGCGGCGGGCGACCTGCAAAAACGGCAGAAGACGGGCCGCAGACACTAGGACTCAAAGGTGCCCTAGATGAAGGCGCGCGCCCTTATTGGGCGCGTTGACTGTAGCTCACTCTGACGTCCCTCTTGCCCCACTGAAGCTCCCGCGCTGTCCTTGGGGCGCGGGTGCGCCTTCCGCCGTAGTGGGCGGGGCAGCGGCGCCCCTGCTTCGCTGCGCTCGCCGCGCGGAAAACCTGGGACTCAGGCTCTCTCTCTCTCTTTCCCTCTCTCTCTCTCTTTATTTTGTTCCCTCTTCTCTCTCTGTCTGTCGAGCGGAAACCACTAGACGAACCTTCGCACGGGCGTGATCGACTAACTGGCGATGAGCTCGGCATGGACGTGGCGGGCGGGCCTGCGGCTCGTGCTGCGGCCGACAGGGGAAGAGCAGTCCACCTCGGGTGCCTCTTGGGAGCCTGTTGGGGGCCGCAGGAGGCCGACGCGCCTGCCGTTCCCCATGAATTGTTCGGTTTCGTGTGTGTGTGTGTTTCTGCTCGATGATCCAGGGTGTTTTTCGGTGAAAACAAACGCACATGCCAGAGCGATGCCGAGCACAGAGCGTGACCTTTTCCAGATCGTGGGCGGACTGGGAGCAAGCGAGCGATGGCGCGAGATCTGCACGAGACTTTGAGAAACATCTGATGCCGAAGACTGGTTGTGAGAGGGTTCGCGACAGCTCGCCTGTGAGGGGGATATTGTCAGGTGGTGTCGGTGACCAGATTCCCCGAGGGGTCTGTGGAGGGTTTGTGGAGGTCGGGGTGTGGGCAAGGCCGGCGGTACAAATACTGAACTGTGCAAACTTGTGGCCAAAACCAACCGCAAGCACCCGATCTGACGCGGATGGGCGTGAGGCGCCAGTACCTCACTCCCTCGTGTGGACGTAACGTCAACACGTGCATCTGGTCTTGTCTCGCCTCTACGTGTTTTCGCCCCCCTGCTGGAAGTCTGTATTCATTGACCTGTCTGTCAGCCCCTCCGTCCCTGATCCTCGTCACCTTCGCCCCTCGGACCGTCCAGCTGCCTCTGTCTGGCCCTGGCACTCAGACATTCTTAACATCATGCTCTGTCCCTCCGTCTGCCCAGCCCCACCAGGAACATCGCCGCAGCCACAGACGATCCTGCGCGGGTAGGAATAGCTATAACAATGATGGCATGCGCTGGCTACGCTTCAACACTATCACCGTGGACGAAGAACTGCTAGGCCAAGGATTTTCAAAACACTCTGCAACAACATTGACAACATTGCTTCTCGTTCCGTCAACATTTGAGGGGGCTGAAATGGGTATCTAATGGCGGTCTGGATCCAAATCTGGTCTGGGCGTTGGCGGCGATGGTAGATTCCTAGATCAGTTCTTCCTGCAGCCCCACCTGCAGGTCTAGCTGCAGTTAATTTTGCATGTCCTGCTGCACCTCTTCGTATGAACATCTACGGGCAGCTGGTATTACAGCTCGACTTGTGCGGCGCTCACACGCATCACAGTCGAGATAATGGACGCGGATCATGCTAAACGTATTACAGATCCTGAAATCGCACCAGGCGCGGACAGAGGGTGTGATGCGCAGAGTGAAGCTTTTGGTGGGCACAGGGTTGCGGGCGGGTGTGGGTATGTGTGTGCGTGCTTGTGTGTATGGGTGTAGGTGTGTTTTGTTCGCGCGCGCGTGCGCGCGCGCGCGTGTGTGTGTGTGTGTGTGTGTATATGTGTGTGTCTCTGAATGTGTGAATGTGTGAATGTGTGCCCGTAGCCTCTGGCTCAAGGCCGCGAGCGGGCTTCCTCCTCGGGGTCTCCCGCACTCCAGGGGGTACCCGACGCAATGGGCCCCGTCCCAGCGGCGTCAACATCCGAGGAAGCAGCGGCGGCAGCGGCGGCAGCGGCCAGAGGAAGAACAGCCTGCCTCAACATGAACTGTCGAAGGTCTGCAAGGGATTTCTTGGATCTGCGCTGAACCTCCTCCCTGGCGCGCTGGGCGCGCCAGGGGCGGCGCCGGAGGCGCCGCCAGGGGGTTCCAGCGCAGATCCAAGAAATCCGCGTGGAGCTCCGACAGGTTATGCTGTTGTTGCTCTTCTTCGAGATTGCAGCGGCGGCTCCCTCCTGCGAGAGTCGCCGAGGCCAGAGTCGCCAGGACGGCCGCCAGCAGCGTGGCGCTGCGGCCCAGGGTGCGAGGTCTCAGTGCGAAGTCGTCCGGGCAAGTCTCGTCCCTGAGCGGCGTCGCGCTGGGAGGATCGGGTGCTCCACATGGCGGGTTCTGGAAACTCTGACCCACCCACACACCACACACACGCACGCACGCACGCACACACGCACGCACGCACGCACACACGCACACACATACACCACACACCACACACCACACACCACACACCACACACCACACACCACACACAACACACACACACACACCACACACCACACACACACAACACACAACACACAACACACACACACAACACGCACACACGCAACACACAACAAACTCACACACACACACTCGCACACACACAGACGCACACACAAGACACACAACACACAACACACACACACACACATACACACCACAAACACACACACACACGCAAACTGGTGCTCTCTCTTTTTTTGGGGGGGCGCATCTTTTACTTCCGCACGCTTCCGCTGGCCTTCTGCCGGTTTCCGCCGGCGGAGCCGCTCCTGCTTTACTTCCGTCGCCTCCCGCCGAGGAAGACATGGGAAATCCTTCGATCCTCGGAGGTGAGAGGTCTTCTCCGCAGCGCCCGGGGACGCAGGAGTGGGAGCTCAGTGGGCCAGGATGACACGCGACAGACACGGTGGAGGCAACGAGGCAGGAGGGCGGGCCAGGAGGAAGGGCGCGGAGGCGGGGTGGGGGGGTAGAGATTTAGAGATTCGGATCTGGAGCCATTGCGAAGCAGTCTGCAAACTGGATCACCGCCCCTGACCTTGATGAGAACAAAGCGTAGGGACGCTGAGGGGAATGGGGGATGAGGATGGGGGAGAGGGCGGGAACGTGTAGCGCGTGGTCTCAAGGACAACTCACAGCACACGTCTCCATCAGGCTCGGAGGCTTCCTCCTCCCAGGAATTAATACCGTCACTCTCGGGGCTGCGGCCTCTCCCTGTGGAGAGCCGCCCAGCCTCCGCCAAGCACGCGAAATCAGATTCCTCCTCCTCCTTCTCCTCCTCCTCCTCCTCCTCCTCAACTAGCCCGAGGCAGCGGAGCACTACCAGGCGCTGCCACGTCTGGCTCGGGAGGGCCACCGGGGCGGCACAGGCCCCAGGCGGCTCGTGCACACCCCCATGCGGCTCAGCCCGCTGCGGCTCCCGCTTGCCACGAAGCTTGCAGGCCGTGTCTCTGCCGACACCAACAGGGGCCCCTGTGTGCAGATCCTTGGTGCGAGCCCCGGTGCTAGGGAACCTGCCCTCGGCCCATGCAGCGCCTTTGCTCACGATGGCGCGGCCCTGCGCGAGCCCCACGGCATGGCCCTAGCACTTTTGCACTGGCCTTCAGGGCAGAGACGCAATGGAAGCAATCTGTGATCGATCCGGCAGGGCGCTCAACTACGTGGGTACATAAAAGTGCGTGCCCGCCGAGGCGCAGAGCCACCTCACAGTATTGGCCCCTCGACCCCTCCCAAACGAATTCGAGTTCGGGCTCATTCTGGCCGCCCCGACGCAGGCACTCAGCTGCGTCGGCCTGGCCGTCGACGGTTGTCTCGGACTCGCCAGCGGCAGCGTCCGGAACGGCTGGCGGTGCATCCACATGCGCATCCGCGGCTCCACCGACGGTCCACCCATCGGCGGGGCCCAGCACGGCCTCGTAGTCGCTCGCACCGTTGTCCACCATGACGCTCTGCAGCTCGCCGAACCAGCGGGCGTTCTCGCGAGTCAGCTCCTCGAAGCCCTTCCACGGGTGGACTTCCCTGCTCGTGGTGCCCGCGACGTGGGCGCCCAGCTTGGCCAAGCGGTCCATGGCAGCGTTGGCCTCCCGCTCCCGGTGCGTGGACCTCCCCGCGTCGACGTCAGCGGGCGTAGCGTGCCCAAGAGTCTTGTGGGCAATCAGCTCCCCAGGGCCGAGATGTCCCCACACGCGCCGCCAAAGACGAGGCCGCTGGTATCCTCGTGGCCGGGCACCGGCCTCAGGCCCGCCCTGCAGCGTGTCGACCGTGCCCTGAGGCAGTCGATGTAATCGTCGTGGGTGCCTGGCCAAACGAGGTCGCACGGCATGAAGATGGCAAAGTCCTCCCCGCCTCTGGACGTCTGCTGCGGGCCAGCCCAAAGGGGAGCCGGCCCATGCGCCGCAGCCGCCGTGCGCCCGAACCGGTCGGCCTGGATAACCGCCCAGCCAGCGCGGGCCAACTCACAGATCTCCATGTAGAACGCGCTGCCGATCTGTGAACAGTGGGCCCTGCAGTAATCCGTCGGGTGGGCGGTTGCCCCACGAAACCAAGTCAACTGGCTCCACTCGGGGCAGCAGGGGGCCTCGGGTAAACCTTTCTGCGCCTTCCACGCTCCACTCGCGTACTCGGGCAGCCCGGCGCCGGTGGCGTGCTCCAACCCGCTCCATGCGCAACTGCTGGTGCGCCGGGCACTCGTAGCAACAATGCCACACTGTGCCGAGACCACTCCAGCGGAGCGTGCAACGGCCATCCTGCACGAGGTCGTGGCCAAGCACGCGGGCCTGGCTCCAGCTGGTATTGCAGAAACCAGCCCTGAGGGCCCGCTGTTGACGTCGTGTCCAGACTGCGGTCACGCGCTGGAGGAGTGGTCTGAGACCGCTCCAGCACTCTGGAAGAGCCCCAGGATGATCCGGCCCACCTGCCTCGTCCCCACCGGCCGCGGCTGCAACGCTCGATCCGACCCTGCAGAGGGCCACTCTGCCGGAAGCTCGGACGGCGGCGGCCTCTACTTAGGGTCCTGAGCTGGTGCGGCAAAGTGCGATGGAGGTCGCACTGCTCCGCCGTGTCGGTGCAGACGGCTGCGCTGCTGACCATCGTCCAACCTACGCGGTCGAGCGTACGGACCAAGACATCCCGCTGGAGATCAGGCCACCCGCCAAGGGGGCTTCGCAGTTGCGAGCTTACGCTGGCCGGCTTCCAGCGTCACCTGCAATACCCTGGCGGCCACTGCGCCAGTCCATGCCGCCTCACACCACTGCTGGAGCACGTCCGCCGTGCTCAGTACGAGCGGGTCCACGCGGCAACCAGTGCGGTGCGAGTGTAGGCTGAGCCCCACACTGGCACCCTTGGGCAATCGGCCCATGCTGGTGACCGCACTCACCCGCAGACTGTGGAGCTGGGACGGCGGGAGGCCCATCACGACCCCACCCCACACTCCGGAAGATGTAGACCCTAGACGATGAGCCATGGTGACGTCAGCTCCAGCTCCGCGAAGAATGGCATAGCGATGACCACGTCGGCGGGCTGCAGCTTGGCGTAAACAGGTCGTCGCTACGCGCCGCAGCGCCCCCGTGTTGATGTCGCCGCCCAGGCCTTCAGCCCCATCAACCCTGTTCGTCGCTGGCAGACTCCACGCCGCATCAAGGGCAAAGGCCAACTCGCGTGAGCTGGCCAAGTACTTCCTGTTGCCGGTATTCACGGGGAGCGAGAGCCCCCTGAAGGAGCCCAATAGAGATTCTACCCCGCCGCCCAGGCTCGCGACGACCATGTCCTGGCGCCCCGTCGACTGCAGTACCACGTCGCCCACGACGTTCCAGATCTGCAGTCCAAGCCTGCCAGCTGCGGCCGGAGGAGGACCAGCTTCGCGATGGCAGTGGCTGCCGAACATCCGGCAACTATGGAGCCATTGGCCCTCATGGCCCCAGACACGGCACCACCATATAGGACGCGACGGGGCCCGCTGTACAACATGCAGAGGCCCTTCAGCAGCCGCAGCAGGAACTGGAATTCTACGGCGGCGTAGGTCCGTCCACCTGACGACCGAGACGTGCCCCAGAAAAAGTCATCTTGTGTTGGCATATCGGGGCGCGCATCTTGCTCCACAGCTTGGTCACAAAACTCAGCAATCCGATCGGTCGGAGCCCCCCATTTGGGCTAGGCAGGAAGACCAGCGTGGAGAGAAGCTCATCGAGGATGATGGGGTTGCGGTCGTAGTCCACGATGACGTCCAGCAGCTAGAACTGGAACTCCATAAACAACTGCAAAATCCATCGGGTGTGGATGTCGTCCCAACCCAATCCGGCCGTCTCCCGATAGCAACGGCACGCCTGCTGCAAGTCCTCCAAGGTGAGGTCCGCAAGTCTACGCCGTCGGTCACCGCCCAATTTTCCGGGGCAGCGTCGTGGGATCTCAACGGGTTGTTCCAGAGCGCCGCCCAATTGTCCAAGAGCTGGTCCGCCGCGTCCTGCCCGCCCACCGGCCAACGACCTCCAGTCGTGGATTCCGCCTTGCCTCCAGACTCATATTTGTTCGAGGTCTTGTTGGCAAAACGGTGCGCCTGCTTGCCACCACTCTGGATAGAGGCGCGGGCCCAAGATTTCCCGCTACCCTGCGGCGCCCCAGATCCTGCTCGAGACGCTGCCAAGTCCCAGCGAGGTCGCGCAAGCGACCTAGACCTTCACGTAGCGCACGAAGCTGGAGATCACATTTGCTACAGTCACAATTTTCTGGCATCGCAGGCGCCTCCATACCGCGATGATGTCTTGGAGCTTCTCCACCCAGAGCGTCTGTCGAGCTCGCCAGGCTTGTCCCAACACAGTCTGTGAGAGGGAGTCCAAGCGTTGACACCAGCGGAACGACCACCATGCAGTGGTGAGGGGTGACGAACGCTGGCGTTGCTTGCGCTCCCGTGCCGTTGCCAACGGCGAACGCTTGTCATAAGATGCCCAATCGCGCTGCTCCACGCCGTGGAGGCCAGGGAGGGCGGGAATGTGGGAGGGGAGAGGAGGGGTGGAGGCGAAGGCGGTCTGTGGAGCAGCGGGGGAAACGACGGGAGAGCTCAGAAAGAAATCAGTTTAAGAGGGGGAAGGCACCAGCAGTGTGGGTGGTGATGCAGTCACCGTGCTACCATAATGAAGGCCGAATAGGGAACGAGGGTACGTTTCTGGCCACGGCGAGCCTCGGCCACGACTGGATCCCAATACATTTTTTTCGTCGGCGGCGAGGCGGCGAAATCCGCTCCAGCGCATTGGCCGGCGGGCAAAGAGAGGGGGGGGACGGCCGAGAGGAAGAAGGGACGCACAGACGTCGAAGAGTTAGACGATGAGCAGCCGGGGGCTGGGTCCCAAGGCATCCAGCGTCTCGATTTTTCGAGACGCGGGCCCCTGACCTCCCGACCACTTCCACAGGTACGGTATTTCGTCGCGAGTCGTTTTTTGACGGTCCCGAGGCCCCGTAGGAGTCCCTGGAGGTCGATAACGCTGGAACACCTCTTTCTCGAACTTTGGAGACGTCAGACGTCAGAGGTCTGGGCCCCCGACCAAGTGTAAGGAACGGCCCGAGAACCACGGCCCCTCCCGAGCCCCAAGCGGTCCTTCCTGTGGTGCTGCAGCCATCGTGCTACCATACTGCGCGCTGCGTGTCAGGGAAGACGGTGCGCTTCCGGCCACGGCGAGCCTCGGCCACGACGGGGTCCCCCGACCAACACCTGAGGAACGGAGGTCGGCCTCTGGCCACGGCGAACCTCGGCCACGACGGGGTCCCCCGACGAACATCTCAGGAACGGCCCGAGAGCCACAGGTGCGCAGCGAGGGAAGGGAGGGGGGGGAGTGAGCAGGAGGAAACCTTCCGGGAAGGCGGCGGGGCTTCTCAGCAGGCCTCCGGTCTTCCGAAAAGCTTTTGGCGACTTCGGGGAAGGCTCAGGCAACTTCTCAGAAGGCCGGGGGACTTCCGAGCCTTCTGAGGAGGCCCGTACCTTCTCACTCCCCCCCCGGGCTCGCCGCCGAAACATCTCAGGAACGGCCCGAAGGCCACTGCGGTCCTTCTTGTCACGGTCATGATGGGAGGCGGCAAGGAGGGGCTCCGCCTGCGCATCTGCTCGAGGACGTCGCCCAGGTCGGCCTGACACGGGGGGTGTGCGGGGTGCTGGCCTGCGACGGACACTTCGAAGCAGGGATCGCCCTAACTCATGTGTCGTTTTCGTTCAGTTTTCGTTTTCCCTCGTTCTGTCTTCGATCCGCCTTCGCTGCGAAACGAAATCGAAACGAAACCGGCCCACGAAATCACCAAAACACCGTTTAGGTCGACCCCTGCCTCGAGACCAGACGCCCTGGGCCTCTGAGCGTCAAGTCATGTCTTCTACGCTGCTCTGCCGCTGTCAGCCCTGCCGTGACTCTTGCCCTCAGAGAAGGTGGGCGGGACTGGGCGGGGCGCAAATCCGAGCCTCCCTGCGCGACGAGCACCCACTGCCTCCAACACTGCTGGTCCTCCCGCAACACCAGGGCAAGAACAGGCGATGAGAAATAGTCCTGGCTGGAGGTCGACAGTGTACCGTCTCCTGGTCACAGCAAGCAGGTCTGGCACCGATAGTGGTACGCTTGGGATGTTCTTAGTGGCCTCCTAGATGGGATCGCGCCGCATCGCCGATGCATCGGCGATTTATCGGCGATGCATCGGCGACTTCGACGTGAAGCATATCGGGCCCCACATCAGCCGCATCGGCGGTGCGGCGTGATCCTCCGACCGCATCTACTCGGACCCCATCTAGGAGGCCTAGAGATACGCTGGGGATGTTCTCGATCCTCGATTTTTGAAGCTGAAGTCTCCGGGCAACACCAAACATACTGTTGCGCCCTTACGAGCAGCCTTGCACCACTAAGCTGTCAGGCCCCCGCCCTCGGAGAAGGACGACGGGCATCCACCACGTAGGGGCTTCAGAGTCGGAACCCTCATTGTGTACCTGCACGAGGGCGCCCGCAAACACCGATCGAACACCTGACTGAATACAAGCTCGCGGACCTTTGGGGTGCTAAACGGAGGATGTGCTGCATGTGGGCAGGCTGGAGACAATGCCCACGAGCTTGCCCTTCGCCTCCATCACAAACGCCAGAATTAATGTTCTAGCATTTCAACGTCGCAATTTAGCAGACTGCCATTCCTCTGAAAGTGCTTCGGAACAAGGGCCTACAAACGATAGAAGGCGTTTAGCATTACGGGTAGAAAGCTCCAGCCTAGACGACACCTAGCATGGCAACTCGCGCAATGATGCAGCCTTCACCAGTACTTCCTGGTCCTTTACATCGTCGTGGCCAACGTAGACGTGCACACCCACTTGCCTGAGACATGGCCAACCCAGAGAGGCGACAAAGAACACGATCCAACACGTCGCTCGTACCAATAACACGATCCAACACGTGAATGCATATAGATGTGGATTGGGAGGGCAAGACGAGGGGGGCAGTTCGAAGATGTGGCACGTGGAACATACAGAACCGAGTGCGTCGATGATCCAAACACTCACGCCACACATGTATCGATCATGCATTTGTCACCACGCCGTGTGGCACTCTCTCCTCTCTCTCCTCTGTCTCTCTCTCCTTCCTCTCCACAGATCTCCCCCTCTGGCCCCCAGACCACGGGCTTGAAAGGGAACATGGGGTCGGCGGCTCGTCCAGGGGGCAAGGCCCGGACGATCTCAAAAAGAAGACAGCCGCAAGGATGGCCAGGGACAGCCCGAGGCCGCCCAAACACGGCCCAATCTACATCCAAGACAGCCCAGGAACCCAGGAGGTCCCAAGAAGCCTCCAAAGGCTCGCGAGAGGCCGCCAGAGACGCCTCAAGAGGGCCCAGGAGAGAGGCCCCAGGCTGTACATGTGTACATGCTCTGTCGAGGCTTGCAGCTGCAGCCTCCACAACTTCGGGGGGCCCTTCAGACGGCTCCAAGATGGCCCGAGAGTCCTGAGACTCCCCCACGGCAGCCCCAGCTGGCTCGGTGGCAACTCATGGGAGCCTCCCATACCATCTTGTCGGCTCTTGCGAATCGACGCTAGTCGACGCTGAATCGACGCTAATCGACGCTAACTCGATGCCAACCAACGCTAACCGACGCTAATTCGGCGCTATCTCATCGACTCCAGACGCCAGTCGACGCTAGCCGACGCTAAAGACAGAGTTAAGAGGGTATACCAGGCTCCCATGACTTGCCACCGAAAGATGGCCCCAAAGGGGGCTCCAAGACGGAACTAAGTAAGCCAAACGACTGCCGAATCAGGAGACGACCATATACGGCTAGCCAGAAGACCAGCCACAACGACCCTACGACTCTCCCCGGCGGCCCGAGGGCCCCCAGAGGATCACCCGAAGACCCCTGGAATATACCCCCACCGCTCCCGAGGAGCTCGAACGACATCCAAAAGACTCCAATGAAGGGGCACAGGAACACACAAATAAATACACACACATTCCAACAATCCTTATATTTGATCATATTTTCTGGGTTTCCGTCTTCCCCCCCACTTTCCGTATTTTCCCATTTTTCCTTGAGAACCGACGGTTAATTGTGTCTGTGTGTTTTTCCCTCCTGATCCAAAGAGGCTCCCGGAGCACCCTCCTGGGTGGGAATCAGCGCGCCTTCAGCCAAACGTGCAAAGCCACTCTGAGATCACAGGAAACGTCGATCTCAACGTGTCGGCGGGACTGGCCTCATACGCAGAACAGATGAATTTTAACTCCAAAGGCGCAATGTTTGGACATGGTGGATCGCGGCTGGGTCGTGGGGCGGGGCGCGAGGCGACGACTACTGAAGCAAAACCCACTTTCAAACAATTCGCTCGTCACTGCTCGCGTGTCCATCAACATGTATACCCACAAAGCCCTCGACGCTCGCCCTCTTCGCCTTCGACCGTACCCCTTCGGGAGGGACCTTTGTTATGACATTCGCTGAGTGAACCCTACAGAAGGTCAGATAAGCGGACTGGTCGGGCGGAGCCGAAGAGACCGGTCGAGCGGGAGGACCCGACAGGACGGACCCCAGAAGGGGGGCCCGGACGGGCGGGACACTTACGCGGGCGGGCGGGCGTACAAACAAACGGACGGGACTACCTTAGCAGGCGGGTCGGCCGGGAGCACACACTGGTCGGAAGAAGTATGTAGAAGCATGAAGTAGGAAGGTGGATACAGCATATTGGGTTCGGGCCCGCCCACGGAATATAACAAGCAACAGCCACACCAGAGCGACTCTTGAAGTAGGACGGCGCTTGAAGTAGGTCGGGCGGGCGGAACCGAACGGGTGGGTCGGGCGGGCGGACCCTCACAATTGGGGCGGGCGGGCGGACCCCAACAACCGGGTCGGGCGGGCGGACCCAAACGGGTGGGTCAGGCGGGCGGGACATTCATGTGCGAATTTTGAATAGATCGTGGGTCAGTTGGCAAACAAGCAAGCTCTCGTGCGAATATTGTGTATGCACCTGGGTGGCCTCTACTGAGGCTAGGTCTGCAGCATTATCGCATTATCTTGCCATTGTGTCTTCATTGGGATCTATGAGCCAACCGAGCTCTTTCCGATTCCATGCAAGGAGAAAAGAAAGGACAGGAGGGGACAAACAGACACCCCTGGGGGCATGAACCAATTTCCAACAACCCGAACGCGCCCTAAGACCGACATAACTGCCGCGAATTTCAAGTCTCCAACCTGCCCGCACCCTGACGGAGCTTCAAAGCCCCGGGGAACAAAAACACGAACGAGCCTTGGAACCCGAGGAAACAGGCCGCACAGCCCGAACAACTCACACCGAAATCAGGATTACGGAAAACGCGGATGGTTTCCTGCTGTGTGCGGGCCCGCTTCCGAGGACGATGGGGAGGAGAAACAGGATGAGGATGATGAGGAGGAGGAACAGGAGGAGGAGGAGGAGGAGGAGGAGGAGGAGGAGGAGGAGGAGGAAGAGGAGGAGGAAGAGGAGGAGGAGGAGGAGGAGGAGGAGGAGGAGGAGGAGGAAGAGGAGGAGGAGGAGACGGAGGAGACGGAAAAGGACGGACCAGTGCAAACCCGAGAGTCATCAACGATGTTGGAATGACCCCTCCTTCCAAGCTCCCTCTTCACAGGCCCCTACAACGGTTCATTTCCACTGAGGGGACTGCCTCGTTGGAAGACATCCGTTTGAAGACCTTGGAACATGCCGAGAGATTGTTTTCGGGACTCCATCGCCATTGGTCAACCTGACTCTTGCGTGTGGACGATCCTGAATTTTGCCAGAAGGCCATTCCTGGGTCTTCAACACCGCGAACCAAAACAACTGTTGCACCCTCGTAACCCCGAGCCCTTGCAAAACCATTTCTGGTGCGTTGATCATGGGAATCAGTGACACTCATCATTTGTTGGGAAACAAAAAAAAACGGATGTGCGCGGCGCTGAAGCAGGAGGAGGAGGACGAGGAGGATGGGGGAAGAAAAACCTCAACCTGGGCGGCAGCAGGTCGGGCCTCACCCAACGTTCCCGGCGCCGACAACGACCTCGAAGCTCGCGCTCTCGAACTCCTCCCTCTCGCCTCGACCGACGGCTGGACCCTCGCGTCGGCGGGCGCCGCAGCCATCGCAGAAGACGCAGCTGGAACAGAGGCCGCCACCCCTTCCCTCAACCACTCACGGTCATGTGATACATTCGCTCTGCAATCTCGTCTCCCATCAGAAACGTCTGCAACACACGCTCGAATTGATTCATTGGGGCAACTCCGGCTTTCATCTCCGCGCATAATTGACCACGCAGGAGGTCAACCCTGTCAGAGACGGATCTGCGATCATCAGTACTTTCACGGTGTCGGACGTGCGCGCCGTCTCCACCTTCACGAATGGGCACTTTTGGGCCACTTCGGCCAGCGGCAACGCCGAGACGGACTCGCGCCACTGGTTCATCTTTGCGCCCGCCTCGCCGACATCGTAGCCCGCCGCGACGCACCCTTCCGTCAGACCAGACCGACCAGCGCTGCCATGAGCACGGATGTCTTGGGCGTTTTCCACCCGAGCCTTCATGCGATTGCGACTGCACTGGATCGGCCCCGCGCTCTCTGCCATCGAGAGTGCGACCAGCACTGTGGACACTGTCTGCCTCGGGCGCATGGTCGCATTTAGCGGCGGCTTCATCGTCGCGGGCACTATTTTCTGCACCTGCTCGATGCCGAGCCTGTTTCGACTCTCGATCTCCGCCTGCGGCGCCACCGTACTTGAAGGCTTCTTGGCCGCGGGTTTCTGCCTTCCTCCTTCGGCGGCAGCAGAGCGGTCTCGGTCGCGTCTCTCGCCGTCGTTCAATGCGCGCGACTTCGCTGCAAGGGCCGCCGAGAACATGCCGCGCAAACTCGGGCAATGGAAGTGGAAGGCGTGATGCAATATGTCTCTGCAACAGCTCGAGAAAATCAAGTGGCTCATGGCGTTCAGGGCGCGCTCTCACTTCGGCATCACCATTCGGAGCATCCTACTTTGAGGAATCAACGCGGCATCGTCCATATCTGTAGGCACGGAAAAGGAGACGTCTCGCAGTGTCAGGGCGTCTGCAAGTAGAAGTACACGCAATCCACTGACTAGCAACCGCCAACTTAGATGCCAACGAGGGGGCCCTATGCTGTCCTCCAGAGGCGCTTCTCGCTGGCGCACAGGGGGCGCCCGCCGAGGCGCGAAGCGTCGATCACATTGAAGACCCTCGCGAGTAAGTAGCGTGCAGCAGTGACCACCCTCGGCAAGTTCCCCAGGCTCTTGCGGAACCTCGCCGCGGGGGGCATCGCGAACCAACCAGTCAACGCGAGATTGATGTGTGCCTCGCTTCTGAAACGCTCTGGACGCATCCGTATCCCCATGCACTATATTATGGTATGGTTGCCCCCCCATCGCAGAGCCACGCCGCCTGCTGGCCCTCCTCCTCCGCGCGCGAAAGGTACTCCGCGCCCAGGAGCCACTGTTTGGCCCAAGGATTTGTCCTGGAAGTGCCCCGAAACCTGACATCATCAACTGGGGGCCAATCGAGTGGCGAAGATGTCGGGGCCTCGAAGTCCAGGGGCCCGAAAACCGCAATAAGTTGCTGCGCGTGGTACTCAAAGAAACGAACGATGTTTTGCCGCTTTCGAAGTCTTTGGACCCTTAGCTCATGTGCCATCGGAACATGACCGGCACGCGTCCATATCTCGATTGCTGGAGGGGCGCGGGCGACGACCGACTCGGGGCCGTCGTCGCCAGCGGCGGGAACTCTGACAGCCGCCCCCCCAACAACGACTTCCGACACTTAGGGCAGATCCAGTCGAGACGAGCTTCCTGCGATGCTGTCAGCGCCGCTGCCGCCCCCGATGCTGCGGCCCCAGTGATGTCACTGCGGAGCGCCATCCTATTGGTCCTTCAGGGCGTGCGCCGTCACCGAAGCCTGCGCGTGTGAGCGCGTTCCCGAACGACCGCAGCACGTCGAGCCTCTACCTCAGGCGCCCGCGAACCAGTCGGAATGAACGGGGCGCCCAAGAACGGCGCGATCGGAAACGCGATCCTCGGAAAAAGAATAGCTTCGTTGCCCTGGAACGCTGCCGGCAGGAAGCGATTGGCCCCGTGCCCGGCGCCGCGAAGAAACGCCTGTTTTCCTCCCCCGTCGCCCATGCAGATTCCGCTCAGAAGCAGCTGCTCAGTCAGCAGCCTATCGCGAAGAGGAGCGTCGCACCGCGTGCCTGTCAACGCACATGTCCCCATGCAGCGAAATTGAATGAACGGCGTGATGTGCCTCCGGTCAGAACTTCATTGGCGGGGCGTGCGCCTCCTGGAACACAGTGGCAGCATTCTCATCTCCCGCGCAGTTGCCCTCCAGGTTCTGCAGTGCGTTCTCGCCCCCGTCCGCGCATGTTCTGAAACGGGCCGACCTACGACGTTGCCGTGGCAGGGCAGCATCATCGCCATCATAACTACAAGCCGCAACATCATCCAACGAGTTCTGTAGAACCGAGCGCAAGGCATTACCCGCACCATGTTTCGCATCTTAGGGAGATAGCCGAGCGCGCCGCGCTGGGGCAGCAGTAGCGCGCGCAGCTCTCGATCGTGAGCGGCGCGACAGATGCCCATGCTCATGTGCAGGAATAAGTCGGACCTCCCTCTGGGCCGCCTTGACCCGCACCTTGCCAAACGAGCGTAGCTCGCGCAGCAATCTGGTCCCAATGGTCCTGGTCTCGCCGTTGTCTTCAGGAAACTTATAGGTGGGCGACGTATCTCATGGGTCCACCGGGCGGCCCCGATGTCGAATCTGAGCAAGAAGTGCCTGCGCCCGCCTCTGAAACACCCCCCCGCCCCGACGGAGTAGCGACGCGCGAGCCAGCGGCGCGATCGCGAACCTCGGGTCTCTGGGGCATCGAGCGCGACCAGACCTCGTTGGGAAGGCCCCGCGGGGCCGCAGCCCTCCGCCGCGGCGCAGCCCTGAACCCTCGAGATGGAAGGTCGCAGTCGGCCGCGCCCCAGTCCGCCTCGAACGGCAGCGGGGCATCGGAACAATCGCGTTCGGCAGCCTTGAGCAGGCGCGCACCTGAACTCATTGTTCGGCTGGGCAACCATGCCCCCCTGGCTAGACGACATCGCTCAATCCCCCGCGCACTCCTCCATGCTAGGCGCATGCTCCGCAACGTGGCCGCGGCGCCGGCGTCGAATGCCAGCGCCTGCTCCAGCCGCGAGCCAACAAATCATCCGCTCCTCCGAAGCCCGGCCGCCAGCTTGGGCCCCCCGCAGTTCTTCAGCGAGCGGCCCCTCCCTAACGTTCACAAAACTGTCTCCGTGGTGCCTTGCGCCGACGAGTTTGATGAGCGAGACGCAGCGCGCTGTCGACATCCTCTGTCGCTGCCGCGCGAGCGCGCCCCCGCTCCTGCAGTGCGAGCGCGCGCTCTTGGACAAGAGTCTGATGCGGGAAGCGCGCGTGCAATGGCCTCGCACATAGCCAGTCCATTCTCCTAAACCGCGCCGACTAGCGCCTCCCACGCAGCCTCGAGCGACGGCGCATCCTGGACGAGCTGCTCGACCGAGACGCGCCCCCCGCACGACAATCAAGGTCCTGACGGCCGACCCGACGGCCTGGCGGAGCCCTCGGCGCGGTGCTCGTGGTGCGGCGCCTGGCCACTGGAAGGGGCGCCGTAGTAGCTCGGCCCGAGCGCGTGCCATGCGTTGACAAAAGAGAGCTCCAAAATCCCGACCATGCCTCTTTTCATCGGGGCACCCGCTTGATATTCCACCCCCAACCCGTGCTGTCCAGTACCGGTGGAGTCGGTCCAAACTGGGCCGTGCTTGCCAGTGGCCAATCCAACACCATCGTTCACGTCTGACGCAACCAACGGAACACTGCGACACGGCAGCGACGCAAACGCGCACATGCCGAAGTCGTGGACAAGAGGATCGCCGCACTCAATTGAACCTGCTCGTGTGGATCGCGGGACCGTGGTGGGTAACATAGCCCAATCGACGTGACGTCACCATTGTATGTCTTGGCAGGCAATGCCGCGCCTCTGTCGCGAATGTCGATCAGCGCCGTCCATATCCTGACAACGTCACAAGGCCGCAAAGTAGCCTTGCCCAGATAGACGGATATCCCACATGAAGAAGCAGTACACTAACCTTTTCGGATGCCAACCACAATGGGCCTCCTTGAAATTCGGCAAATCCTCAGTGCAATGTGCGTCCTTCTGCGTACACTTCCCTTGTGCGCCCACAAAGACCAGCACGTCTACATTAGCAGACTCAATTTGGATTTCAAGCCCACGACCACGATCAACAATACTCAATGTGTTTCAGCACATCACACGCAAACGGAGTACTCTCAACTGGAGAAGCACGCGACCCACTTATACAAATCTGCTACTCTAGGGACACGTAAGGTCCCCTGCAGGTCACAAACCACGTCCTGGCTCGCCACAGAGCCGTGGTCCACGATGCCCAAGGGGAGCAACGGCGAGAGAAAACACAAGTACAAATTATGACCTGATGTAATGAAAAAAAAAAAGGGTACGTTCGGTAACGGGGCAGGCAGGGGGGCAGCATCGAAGTCGCGGTTCGCGAGACTTCCCCGCCTGCCGCACAGCCGCAGGAACGTCAACACATGGGCCGCGCGGCTGGAGAGGAGGAGGAGGAAGAGAGAGGAGGCAGGACGTAGGAGGCAGGAGGAAAGAAGAGGGGAGGAGACCGCAGTGCTCTTGTCAAGGCGGGAACCCGACACAGGAGGATTGGAAACCAACGAAACAAAAGATGCGCCTGCGGCGGGCCTCTTCAGAACCTCGCAGACTGCCGACGACCCCGCCGTCCCCTCACTCTTATGCGCAACTGCGGGGTGCTACGTTGTTCATCGCCCTGCATCTTCCTCTTCGTCTTCTCCCTCCTCGTCCTAATATTAATTGTTCTTCTTCTTCTTCCCCGACCCTAACTTCGGGATGCCCGCTTTTCGGGGAGAGGAGGTTCAATGGAAACTCGGCGCCGGGGAAATAGAGGCCCAGAGGGGGCGGCCGCATACGCCAGGCAGAAAGGGTACCCGCCCGTTTGCGCCCGAGGTTGCCTGAGTGGATGCAGCAGCCTCGATGCCTGACGGGGGCGTCTTCATTGGGAACTGCAGTAGAGAGTAGATTGCAATAGAACGGGCACCAGCTTCCTATGATGGCGCCTTGGAGACAAGAGACACACATGCTTTTGACAACATCTCGTGCTGCTGCGAACTGCGGTGATGCCATCTACTGCGGTCCCATGCCTTGCACGTGCACCCAAATCAACAATGCAACCCTCACAATAACATGATCGCACCTAGCCTGATCCGAGAACGTGTTACTACTTAGTCTTCTCCCCCCCGTGAGAGCCTGCGTCAACAGGGAGGGCTAACGACACGGCAGGCGGAACAATGGGGATCATTTCTCACCGCGAACCACTCGTACTGCGCCACGTTGCTTACACCACATAGCTTGCACCACTTAGCTTACACAACCACACTGCAACAATTTCCTGTTCGGGGCCTACGCTGGTTGACGCCTTGCCACCAGAAACCGTGGGGCAGATCCTTCGGCGACTCCGAGCTTGGCATGGCACCCGAGGCCCTGCGGGCCCATCGCGAGAGAAGAGATCACCGTGCGCACCCGCTGGCAGGCCAACTTCCCCTCTGCTGCGCCTGCTGCAGGGTCCTCTCCTCTCTCGGCTACACGTAAGAGTGACCCTGGGTAAGAGTGACCTTTGGTGCCTGGCTTTTTGGGGGGCCGCTGGGGGACCAAACCTGGGCGCGCAAGCAGCTGCTGCGCTTCGTTTTCAGCCATCTGGGGGCCCATCTGCGCCCGCAAAAAAGGTCACTCCAGTGAAAGGTCGACTCTCGAGGGCACGGGCCACCGACCCCCCGCTCGGCGCGCGCGCGCCGCCGAGCGTGGCGGCGCGGGGGGCGGCAGGCCCATGCCGGGCGCTGGCGCTGCGAGCGGCGCGGGCCAGTGAACGCCACGTGCTGTGACGACGCCGACGACGCCGACGACGGCGGCGACGACGACGACGCCGACGCCGACGGCGGCGGCGGCGACGACACCGAAGGCGCCAGACGGGCACGGCCCCCTGGACACCGTTGGCTCCCGTTGGCTCCCCTTCCCCCTTGCACCCCCCCCCTTCGCTGGTCGTCGCTCGCTCGCGACGGCAGCGCTCTTTCCCGCGGGCAGCGCCCTCCACCCCCGTGGCCAGGAAGGGGTGCTGGGCGCGGCCGAGCCGCTCCCTCCCGCCACCCTGTATCGACTGCAAAGGAAAGCTCCTCCTCCTCCTCCTCCTCCTCCTCCTCCTCCTCTTGCTTCCTCCTCCTCTTGCTTCCTCATCCATTACCGCCCCCCCCTGCTCCCCTGCTCCGCCCTCCGTGCTCCTCCCTCTCCCCCTTCCTCGTCCTCCTCCTCCCCCTTCTCCTCCTCCCCGTTCTCCTGCGTCCGTCCAAAACAATGTGCGGGCAGCACGGCCGCAAACAAGCTCGCGCCAAATCGCGGCGGGGGGCCCTCCCAAAGCGCTGGGACCGTGAACAAAAGCAACCTGGGATGAAAAACCGGGCCCGGGGGAAGGTTCGCGACACTTCTGGAGACCCCGCACTTCACAATTCAAAACGTTGGATGTCGGCCCGCAGGAGGCTGGGGTGGGGCCTTTCCGCGACGACTCTCCCGCCACCATCAAAGACGCGGGCAAATGCGGGGGGGAGGGCGGAGGCCTCGCTGGTGTGAGCAGGAGGGGGCCAACAAGTCGCCAGGGAATCGGGGACCGACAAGTCGCCGGCCCCGAGACGGAGGGCCCCCCCGAGGGGGAGGAGGCCCGACCCCCCTCGCCTGCAACCCGTGGGGTGCGGGCGAACGGTCGGCTTACCGAGGGAGAGGGGGCACGGCAGTTACGACGAAGCTGGAACCGTGGCAAAATCGGACCGGACAGATCGGTGATCTCTGAGATCTGGCGGCTCTGACAAAAGGGTGTCGGGCGCCGCGGCCGTTCCAGAGAGCTGCGCAATGCTCTGAGAGCGCTCCAGGACGCTCTGGATTTATCCGGATCCTGGGCCCGCCCCAGCAATGCCAAGAGAGGGCGCCACCTGCTGGAGGCGACGGCGTCCCTGAACCCCCGTGATCGGGGGCGTCCAAGGTCCAAGGGGGGGCGTCCAGGAGGGGGGGCCGCAACGTATGGCCGGCGGCGTGTGCGCGTATTGAAATAGGAGGAGGCGCCATGAAATCTGTGAATATATCATGGCCCCCGCCATGATGTCCACCCCCCCTAGTCATCGCCTACCTCTTGGCCGCCCCCGACGAGAACCCCTCCCCCAGGAGCCCCGAAGACGCTGGGAAACGTCCCCAGGCCCCTCCTCCCTTCTTCTCGGTCCTCTCGATCCTCCCTCCTCGCTCCTCCCTCCTCGACCCCCGACCACGGGGTCTGTGAGGTGGTGGTCCCCGCTGGTGGTGGCCCCCTACGGGCACTGCCCGACAGAGGGGCCAGGCCGAGTCCCCGAGGTGAAGGGCAGCGATGGGGGAGGACAGGCTTGGGGGGGCAGGAAAGGAAAACGTCGCCACCACCACCACAGAGCCGAGCATCCAGAAGGACGCGTGGGCAGAAGAGCGCGCGATTGGCAACTCTTCGGGAAAAAAGACGAAAGGCGAGACGGAAAACGGAGCGCTTCACGACTGAGAAGCAGGAAAACGGGGCGCCCGACTGGGAAACGTCGCCAGGACTCGGCAATACATCGCAGACAGATCCGCGGTGGGCCCCCCGATGGCGAGAGACCACGCGCTCCTGGGCGGGGGTGGGCCCTGGGGCCCCTGCCAGCGATCAACGAGCGATTGGCCCCCCCCCCCCCCACCTGAGCCGATCCCCTCGAACGTTGCCCCTGAAGCGAGCATGCCGAACACAGGACGCACGAGGAACGCGCCACGACGGACAGATCAAGAGACATCCTCCTCTCCCTGAGCATGCCGAGCACAAGAAGCACGAGGAACGCGCCACGACGGACAGGTCAAAAGACATCCTCCTCTCCCTCCCCCCTCCGAGTAGTCATCGCCGGCATTAGGGGAACGAACAATTAATTTCACAAACATACAAACTCGGAGGTACGCGCGGATCTCTCGGATTTGCGCTGGACCCCCCCCCTCTGGCGCGCGAAGCGCGCCAGGGGCGGCGCCAGAGGCGCCGCCAGGGGGCCCCAGCGCCGATCCGAGAAACCCGCGCGGACCTTCGAGTTTTTATGTTTATGTCATTCTTCGTTCCCCTAGTCATGCGCCTCTTTCTCCTGCGTGGGCTGGGCCCCACTGGCCGATTTACCCCCCTGATGGAAATATAGGCTGTTCTCTTCGGGTTTCGAGGGGCATATCCCCAACCGAGGTGGTGAGACGGTGGGGCTCGAGATTTGGATGGGGATGGAGATGGGGATCGGTTAAACGATACTGATCCCTGTCTCCGAATCGTCGTCGCCGTCATGCTCCTCTTTCTCCTCCTCCCCCTGGGGTCGATGGGATCTTCACAGATTCACGGCCCCTGGCCAGGCCCATCCAGGGCCAGGAAAGGTGGTTATGCGCGCCTCTGGCGTGGCCAGGGATGCTGCTTAACCAATCCTGGGCCCATGGCCTGGGGTTAGGTCGGGCATGTCCCCCTACAGGCGGATTTTGGACGAAAGGTTAAACATACGCAGTACATGTATATATCTCTATGTATATAATCAAAACAAACAAAATATCGAACAATTGTCCCAATACTAAATCTTGACTACGTGAACAACCACCCTTCGGGTGTTACGGAGGTTGTGGGGGGGAGAAGAGGGGGGGAACCAACATCTGCCTCAATCGATCTCACTATCGATCTCACTCAACGGGACACCACGGGACACCACGGGACACAACGGGACACCTCTCGATCTCACTATCGGTCTCACTATCGACCTCACTCAACGGGACACTAGAAGACACCACGGGACACCACGGGACACCACGGGACACCCTGGGACACCACATCGATCGCACTATCGATCTCACTATCGATCTCACTCAACTGGACACCTTGGGACACCACGGGACACCTATTGATCTCACTATCGATCTCACTTTTTCGGACACCACGGGACACCTCGGGACACCACGGGGACTTGTCGATCTCATTATCGATCTGAATATTGATCTCACTTTTTGGGACACCACGGGGCACCACATCGATCTGAGTATCGGTCTCAGTATCGATCTCACTCAACGGGACACCACGGGACACCACGTGACACCTGTCGATCTCACCATCGATCTCACTTTTTGGGACACCACGGGACACCTCGGGGCACCACATCGATCTCAATATCGATCTGAGTATCGATCTCACTCGACGGGACAACATAATTAGGACACCATGGGACACCACGGGACACCGCGGGATACCGCGAGCCACTGCCGGACTGGCGGGCGGGGGAGAATCGTTTGTCTCGACTTCGCCCTAGCAACGGCGGACACCACGGGACGCCACGGGACAGACGGGACACCGCAGGCCACCGCCGGACGGGCGGGAGGGGGAGAATCATGTGTGTTGACTTCGCCCTAGCAACGGCGGGTTCATTCCTCTCGCGCGCACACGCAACTTCGCCTCGCCCGCACGCACGACACGAACGAAACGAAACGATTTCCCGGTTCGGGGTCTCCGTTCCACTGCGATCTCACCCGGTAACCTCCGATACGACCACCCTTCGGGTGAGAAGGAGGTCGCGGGGGGGGAGAAGGGGGGGAACCAACATCTGACTCAATCGATCTCACTATCGATCTCACTCAACGGGACACCACGGGACACCGCGGAACACAACGGGACACCACGGGACACTTGTCGATCTCACTATCGATCTCACTATCGATCTCACTCAACGGGACACCACGGGACACCACGGGCCGCCACGGGACACCACGGGACACCTCTCGATCTCACTATTGGTCTCTCTATCGATCTCACCACCGATCTCACTCAGCGGGACACCATAATTGGGACACCACGGGACACCACGGGACACCGCGGGACACCACATCGATCTCACTATCGATCTCACTATCGATCTCACTCAACGGGACACCACGGGACACCACGTGACACCTGTCGATCTCACTATCGATCTGAATAGCGATCTCACTTTTTGGGACACCACGGGGCACCACATCGATCTGAGTATCGATCTGAGTATCGGTCTCAGTATCGATCTCACTCAACGGGACACCAAGGGACACCACGTGACACCTGCCGATCTCACCATCGATCTCACTTTTTGGGAGACCACGAGACACCTCGGGGCACCACATCGATCTCAGTATCGATCTGAGTATCGATCTCACTCGACGGGACAACATATAATTAGGACACCACGGGACACCACGGGACACCGCGGGATACCGCGAGCCACTGCCGGACGGGCGGGCGGGGGAGAATCGTTTGTCTTGACTTCGTCCTAGCAACGGCGGACACCACGGGACGCCACGGGACAGACGGGACACCGCAGGCCACCGCCGGACGGGCGGGAGGGGGAAAATCATGTGTGTTGACTTCGCCCTAGCAACGGCGGGTTCATTCCTCTCGCGCGCACACGCAACTTCGCCTCGCCCGCACGCACGACACGAACGAAACGAAACGATTTCCTGGTTCGGGGTCTCCGTTCCACTGCGATCTCACCCGGTAACCTCCGATACGACCACCCTTCGGGTGATAAGGAGGTCGCGGGGGGGGGAGAAGGGGGGGAACCAACATCTGACTCAATCGATCTCACTATCGATCTCACTCAACGGGACACCACGGGACACCGCGGGACACAACGGGACACCACGGGACACTTGTCGATCTCACTATCGATCTCACTATCGATCTCACTCAACGGGACACCACGGGACAACACGGGCCGCCACGGAACACCACGGGACACCTCTCGATCTCACTATTGGTCTCTCTATCGATCTCACTACCGATCTCACTCAACGGGACACCATAATTGGGACAGCACGGGACACCGCGGGACACCACATCGATCTCACTATCGATCTCACTATCGATCTCACTCAACGGGACACCACGGGACACCACGTGACACCTGTCGATCTCACTATCGATCTGAATAGCGATCTCACTTTTTGGGACACCACGGGGCACCACATCGATCTGAGTATCGATCTGAGTATCGGTCTCAGTATCGATCTCACTCAACGGGACACCAAGGGACACCACGTGACACCTGCCGATCTCACCATCGATCTCACTTTTTGGGAGACCACGAGACACCTCGGGGCACCACATCGATCTCAGTATCGATTTGAGTATCGATCTCACTCGACGGGACAGCATAATTAGGACACCACGGGACACCACGGGACACCGCGGGATACCGCGAGCCACTGCCGGACGGGCGGGCGGGGGAGAATCGTTTGTCTTGACTTCGCCCTAGCAACGGCGGACACCACGGGACGCCACGGGACAACACGGGACACCGCAGGCCACCGCCGGACGGGCGGGAGGGGGAGAATCATGTGTTGACTTCGCCCTAGCAACGGCGGGTTCATTCCTCTCGCGCGCACACGCAGCTTCGCCTCGCCCGCACGCACGACGCGAACGAAACGAAACGACTTCCCGGTTCGGGGCCTCGGTTCCACTGCTATCTCACTCCCCAACCTCCGATTTCAAAATATTTTCCCTGTGCAGGGACATGCTCGACTCAAGCCTAGGGTCGACCTCACCCGGGGCGGTGGATGTGTGGCCGTTCCATAAACCTCGAAACCCAACAAGGTTTCACGCCTTGGGGGCAGATTTGTGCTTCCGCCGACGGACCCGCTGCCGTTGTACTCTCCCCGACTTCAAGCCCTCGAAGACGAGATTCTACTCCGCCAACTTCCAACCGTCCGCAAACGGACGCGGAATTCTGGAGACGAAGCCTCTAGTCTGGGTGGAAACGGAAACCTCGAATCTCGCTGGCGGCAGGCGGAAGTCGGAGACGAGGGCTGGACAACGGCGGATGTCGGAGGCGAATCACCTCGGCCGGCTTCCAGCCCTCGAATTCGCCTTCGAGGACTGCCATCCCCAGACATGCGACGTCCTGATTTTTTCAGGACGGCGTTCCC